AGGAGGAGGAGAGGCAAGAGCCCCCGCACCCCCTCCTGGAGCCCCCCCCCCAAGCAGGCCAGCCAAGAGGCGGGGGAGGAAGTCCCGGCCCCTTGGGGCTCTGCAGAGAAATTTCAGACAAAGAGGAGGGAGACGACAAAGGCCTTTTCTTAAAGAATAAAAAACATTTATTCAACCCAGCGAACAATCCTCATGAACACCAGAAGTAAACTTTTTTGCATGTTTCCTTGAAAGCAGCCCGTGAGTGATCATGAACTGCAATACAGGGAGATCGGTTTTCGCCGGAGGGGAGGGGAGGGGGGCCCCAGCGGGATTCAGCCCCGTTGGCTGCCTGACGCAGGAGGAAGACAAAGGAAAGGGCCCAGACAGAGGAGCCCTCAGCCCCCCCCCTTGCGATGCCAGCCATGGGAGCCCGTGGCCATGCTGACCCACACACACCACCCAGGCCAGCCACAGTTGGACCCAAGCTGGGGAGGGGGAGCTGTGGCGCCCGTGGCTCCTGGGCGGGGCGAAGCCAAGTGGGCCTGTGGCTCAAGGCTGCCAGCAGCCCTCCAGGAACCGGGAAGATGCGGGGCTCCGGGGGGGGGGCACTCCGTTCCCTTGTCTAGAGCAGGAGGCCGCCCACCGGCCACGAGGAGGAGGAGGTAACTGAGCCGGTTTCAGGTTTGACGGGTGGGGCCTGGCCTAGGACTGAGCAGCGGGGGACCACAGCGGGGGGGGGGGGGCAACTTCTGGCATCCTCAAGGCGGCAGCAGCAGCACCAGAGAGAGCAAAGTGGCCACGGACCGCCAGAGAGCACAGGACTGGCCGGCACACCCGCCCCCTCCCCGGCCTGGCGCCTCCTCTGTCCTCTGTGCCCAGAGCAGAAGGAAGGAGAAGCAATAAATACGGAGGCTGGGCTGAAGAAGAGGTGGCGGCGGAAGGTGCTCCCTTGACTCCCTTTGGCACCAGGTGGGCAGCGGGCCCTGGCGAGACGGCGCCCTGATCTGCCACTTCAAGTACGTCCCAGGAAACAGGTGTGTGTGTGTGTGTGTGTGTGTGTGTGTGGGGAGATGCCGGGTGGGTCCGCACTCCTTCACGAGGACAGAGCCGCCACCGGCAGGCAGGAGGGACTCAGCCCCCCCCCCCCCGCGGCCTTAGATGGGGATGCCCACGGTGCTGACCTGCTCCCTCAAGCCCAGGAGGCTGTAGGCGATGCGCTTCTGGTGCCCGGGGAGGCGCACCCCGATTCTCTTGATGTCCCTGGGAACGGGGGGGGGAAGAGGGTCAAGCGGGGAACGGTGGGAAGGCAGGAGCCCTCTCATCCCCCCCCCAAACTCAGATGGTTTTTCAGCAGCAGTGGAAGTCCCTCCCCATCCTACGGGGAAAGGCAGCCCCCCCCCCCCACCCGATCTAACAGAACCCCAGAAGGATTCTCAGCAAGGACTCCACAGTGGCCTTTGGGAGCAGCAGCGGGGACAACTCGAGTGACCGAGCCCTGCCTGCCTGTCCCTACCCCAGGGGAACATTTCCTTGCCATGGGGAAACTGAGGCAGGCAAGAGGAAGAAGTGACGCTGCTGGGCCCGCCCCCCTGCTCCCCTACGGGGTGGGGCCTGTGCCAAGCCCCTCACTCACTCGTCGGTCATCTGGACCACCTTCTCAATGACATCGTAGCCGGCAGCCACAAAGTGCTCTGCGTACTGGTGCATTTTGATGGACTCCAGCCAGTCGTGCACGGTTCGGAAAGGGGCCCCCTCAGAGCCACTGGTGCTGGGCAGGCGGATGGAGACCCTTCGAAGACACAAAAGGGGCCCCCCTGGCTCTTGAGGGTCTGTCGAGGCCGTGGAGCCTCCTGGCCCCCCAGCAGGGAAGGTCCCCGCGCCCTGCAGCCCAAGGGGGCCCCTACCGAGGGTCAAAGTCCGCCAAGGTCTTGAGTGAGTCGGGAGAGCGGAGGAGTTTGTCCAGGATGCTGACGATGTCGCTGAACTTGGGCCGGCGGCTCCGCTCCTGCTGCCAGCACTGCATCATAAGCTGGTAGATGGCGGACGGGCAGTCCATGGGGGCCGGGAGCCGGAAGCCCTCGTTGATGGCCTTCATCACCTGCCCCCGGGAGGGAGAGAGGGAGGGAGGGAGGGAGGGAGGGAGGTGAGCAAAGCAAGGGGAGCCGTTTGGGT